CTAGCTATGTATTTTTCTATAATCTTATCTATCGTAGGTAATATAGTTATAGGACGGTAATTATCATAATCCTGTTTGCTTCCCTTTTTGTATATAGGTCTCACGATTCCAGTTTTCAATTCGTCAGGATATTTATTAGTCTTTATGCAGACATTTACCAGTTTTGCAATAGCCGGAGCAATTTCTTCGCAAATTCGTTTTATATCTATCGCCCGAATTCTGTCAAGACCCGGAGCTTTGTCAACGTTTATTGTTTTTATAATTTTAAGGATCTCTTTAGGTGTCGCTTTTTGAAAATTCATTGTTACGTTAACTGGTTGTCTGTATTCTATTTTATATAAAATATTATTTTTACATAGAGGTATTATGTTTTGAACGCCACTATGAAATTTATTCGCAAAGTTATTTGCAATTATATTTTTATTTTTGTTTGTGCCCCCAAACGCATTTAAGAGTACTGTATTACGCACTGTCTTACGCACCCTGCCTGTTATTCTGTTAAGAATAAACCAGAGTTGTTTTAAATTATCTTTATATTTATGTATTTCATTATAAATGTATTTATTTTTGCAGGATCTAATTAATTTATTTGCATAGTTTCGCGCTTTATTATATTGTGTTTTTAAAATTATTATTATTATTATCTTTTATCCATTGGTAAAATAGTTTATCTCTATACTCGCAAGCTTTGATAATACGTGAAGTTATCCATTTATTTTCGGTATGTTTGTTACTGGTGTTTTTAATTTTTGATGTAATTTTCGCGTCATTGTAGGATTTATTTATATTTTTATATATATACTGTAATATAGTATCTGGACAGACCATATGATCAACTTTCTTCCAGTTAGTATTATTCAATGAAAGTTTAAATTTTTCATTGTTATATATATTTTTATAAGTAGTTTCATTCTGTATATATACGCGCATGTGTTTGTTCCACACAGGCAAGCACTACCGCTCGGTGGTCCGCTAGCATTACACCAAGCGCCGCGGTGTAAAGTGTAAACATCTTGTTTGCGTGATCTCGCGTACACATGATCAATACAGGATTTAGTTATTCTATCGTTAATTAATTCAATTCTAGTGTACTGCGATATCCCGCACTCAAGGCCGTAGTTATGTAGCATGCAGTTGTATTTATGTCTTATAGTCTATATTCATATCTCCGAGGATAAATAGTTCAGAATTTGTGTCCACCCTACCGATCAAAGTGCGAAGTTCGTCGATGAATAAGTGTTTGCTTAGATTAGGAGGGCGATAAATTGCACATACAGTTGCCGTGTAAAAAGATGGAGTACAAATTTGAAAAAATATATGTTGAAAATGTTTTGTTAATAAGTAACTAATTATTGTAAATTTATTCTTCTTGTGTATATATGCTATTATACCACCACCCCTTCGGTTTTACGCAGCACTGTATGCATGTTATAGTCCGGTAGGTTAAACATATCACTTAGGTAGTCAGATATATTAGCTTCCGTTACCAATATAATATTTATACATGCGTTAGATGAGTACACACATTGTTCTAAAGCACCAAAGTTTTTAATCAAGGACCTTATATTTATGTGCATGCATAGAAGGTTAGTTTGACAATTTTTAACAGGAATATGATTTAGAAATGAATTTATGTTTACTCAATTCACAAATATCGTCTAACTGTACGTCCATTAAAAAAAATAATAATAAAGAACAAAAAAAAACCTTTTTGATATATTTTTTGAAATTAAGTACCTATATAGAATAATTTATTGCAGCTGTACATGGACTTCCTTTTGTAGTAAGGCTTTAATGTCATCATCAGTTCTAATTATGAACGATTGATCTTTTTCATTTTTTCTTGCTCTAATAACTCCATTCTTGCACCACACATATTTGTATACTCCGCTGTTTTTAAATTCTCTTCTGGCATTTCCAAGTAAGGTCTTATTGCATATGGTTAATGCCTCACTTATGTAGATGGTTTCTTTACCAGTCAACGGTGATGCGCTAGGTAAGATATCGTTCACCATGACCTTTGTATCCCTTGCTTTTGTAAGCCATTTTGTTTTAGCAGTTTCTGACGGTAGTACCACACGTAGTTTTCCGGAATTATTTCTATTGTAACCAAAGCGCTTTACTTCTATAAAGTTTTCTTCTAATTCAAGTTTTTGTTGTATTTTTTTCACGACGTTTAAAAGATCTTCGTTGTCAGTGAATGGGATATTAAAAATATCAATAGGTTTAACAAGCTGTTGCTGTTCTTGTTCTTGTAAACGCTGTTCTTACACTTATTCTATATTGTAAGTTTTTTTTTTTGTTAGATAATTCGATATTCTTCTTTTTTATTTCTTTGACTGTAGTTTTAAATGCGTCTTGAATAGCACACTCCACTTTTGTTGATATTTCTAGCAGCAATTTTTTACGATCTAATGTAACAGATGCTGAGGTTATAGGCGATCCAAATGCTTCATCATCATCATCTTCAGGTATCACAATCGAAGTTCGTCTAGATGAAGTGTTTTTGAATTCAGAGCACGACCAATCTAGGTTTTCATTTGCCCGAAGCGCTTTCCTCTGTTTGGTGGTAATATCAGCTATTATCAGCGTAATACTTACTGTGTTTCGTATGGTGAATGTAGTGACCCTTTTACTGAAAACGAGGTATTACACCTTAGTCTTCAGGGCTAACAAAGCATCTGCGTTTTGATTCCTAATTGAAAATAAATATAGATATCTATGAGTCTCAGCATACATTTACCATCAGGTAGACTCTGCGCTCGTTTGTCACCTTATTCTAATAAAAAAAAGTAATGTAAAATGTTTTTATCTATAGAATTATTATTGTGAGATTCGTTGATATATGAAAAGCCTGTCTCTGAAACCATGAAGGCTATGTGAAACGAATACAATGAACCTTAGATATTCACCATCTATAACAAGTATCCGAATACGGAGAATATTTGATGAGTTGTTGTGCACGCTCGCGAAAATTCCTGATAAAATAAGATTTTAAAACACATGCCGCCACAGCTAGTTTATACATATAAATAAAATTGATGGGTCTGTGTGCAATATTGAAATAAAACTTACAGCCTATATACGTCCCACTGCTGGGCACAGGCCTCCTCTCATTTCTAAGGGGGTTTTAGGGCACGGAAGTGTCAGCCACGCTGTCCCATTGCGTGTTGGCGAACTTTACATCTCTACGAAATATTTTTTTGTTATTTCTCAGACATGCAGGTTTCCTCACGATATTTTCCTTCACCGCCGAGTACGTGGTAAATCAGCACTTAAAATTGCAATTAACAATTTCATTGGTACCAGCGGGGAACAAACCCGGCTTGCTCGCGTATTGTGTTTACAGCGCGTTAATTTTAGAAAGGAATGCTTATTTTAAAAATCTAATTAAACTTTTGTCTACAGAATTTTACAATCAATGGCACTTTAATGTAATGAATTTTGGCACCATTGGATGTCCTAAAAAAGTTATCCAGATCTTTCTAAGCTCCAACCTATTGTAAATGTTTTTAATAAATGCCAAGAATAGATTTTGGACAAAAGAAAACTTGAAGCCAGAAAGTATTCCAGTCAATATTTTCTCAAAGAAATTAAAGTATAGTCATTAGCACCAATTAAAAAGCCGATACATCTTTTTACCACTATAAAATAACGTTTATTATGCTTTAATGAGATAAATTGATAGAAATATAAATATGCATAAAGACTTACCTGAAAGTCACTTTTTGTCTCAAAATCTAGCCACAAGACCTTACCTTTTTATTAAGTTTTAATGGACTTGTCCAATCACATTTTTAAAAGGCCTTTATAAGAAGATAGTTTAAATATAAATATATGTTTTAGTATAAGAAATTGTATATCCTAGCAATGTCTGAGTTGCTATGATATAGAAAAAAGAAAACATTCTTAACGTGCAGAATAAAATAGAAAAGTGCCAATCATTGGGAGAGTGCCAAAACAAGTTACTGTTGACCCTATATAAATCCTGTCCAAGCGAAGTCAGTGCGGGTTGCTAATTCTAAAAAAACGTTCATATTAATCCCCCACATTAGTATTTTCTCCTGTATCGTGGGAAAAATTAACATACATTTTTTTATTTGTTTTATAGAATGAGGATGAAAACCAGCACACAGTTTACTTGATGGTAAATGGATACTGTGGCCCAGAGACATCTACATCTATTCTCGATTTAGAATCAAAATGCAGATGCGCTATCACCTTTTGCGGATTAAGATGGAATGCCTCGTTTCCAGTAAAAATGCTCTCCGGTTCTCTACACTCACCGTACGAAAACAGCAGCATTGAACTGCTATTTTACGCTGGCATTCTGTGAGAGTGTGGTTTTTTCCCGATTGAGTCGACCCATTCGGCTGCGACCTTAATATAGCCGCTACGTGGCTCTACCACGAAAATTATATAAAAATTAAATAATAAAAAAATATTAAAGAAATTGCAATCGGACATATATCCCTGAACAACGTTTGTACGCCAGACAAGCACTTGTTCTGTACAGGACTCGTACCCGCGGCCCTGCAGAGTCACAACGTAACACCCAGCCGTCTGTGTGTTTCGTAAGGCGATTTTGTACATCTTTAATCATCCACGTTGATTGTGTCTTTAGTGGTAAACGCGAGTGATGATCTTGATGTCCCGGGTTCGAATCCCGGGTCGGGTCAAAATCTGTTATTGAGTTTTTCTGCCAAAAAATTCTCAGAAACAGCCCGGAGCCAGAAAATTGGCGGTGTTACGCCCCCTTGGAAAGCACATCAAACCGTTGGTCCTGTGCCTGATCTCTCTCCGGTCATGTCAGATTACCGTCCCATCGGAATATGAAAGAGAGGCAAGAGAGTGAATCTGTGTTTACGCATGCACTCTAGCACTAAAATCCTTTCCGGGGCAGATGGCTAGTCTCCGTTGAGACTGATGACCATGAATGAAATTGGGTCTGGAGGACATTAGATTCAAAGCAACCACGCTAATGAGATTTCTTGTTCCAGGTTCATTACAACCATGTGATGGTGCTCGAAGAACAGCGCAAAGGAGAAGGGTGAGTGATTTATTTTGACCTATAGTTTTTACTCGACCGTCCGAGAAGGACAGTAATGTTTTTCGAGAGTATGTATGTGTGCATGTCTATTTCTTTGGCACGTTCTTCAGCTTGAACGGCTTGATGGATTTTAACATGTAAGTGTCTAGATTCATCTTAATTGTGGGGGTGACATAGGCTATATAATATTTATGTGTGACTGCCTCGTTGGTCTAGTGGCTGTAGTAGTGTGACGGCTGATCATGAGGTCATGGGTTCGAATCCCGGGTCGGGCCAAAATAATCAATTATTGAGTTTTTCCGTCAAAAATTCTCAGTAGCTACCCGGAGTCAGGAAGTTGGCGGTGTGTCACTCCCGTGCCGATATTGACATTATGTTATATAATATAGTAATATAGCTAAGGGGAATATAAGGGAATATAACTTATATTCCCTTTAGTTGACATTGTAGTGATTTAAAAAACTAAGAATTACACTACGCCGGTAGGATATGTTAATGATCCTAAATGTTATATCCCATCGGAATATAAGAGTGAGGGAATAGAGTGTACCTGTGCTTGTGCATGCACTTGGGCACTATGATCCCGTGCTGCGCAGATGGCTAGTCCCCGTCGAGACCGGCCGCCGTTAACGAAATCAGTCTGAAGGGCATTATTATTACCAGAAGTCTTGCACTTTCGACGCTACTGCTGTCGCCAGCCTCAACATTTTACACATGATGTTAACAAGGTAGCGTTTCCTATTGTCACCTTTTACGACACCCACTCTCAAGTTCAAGGTCACTCGGCAAACTATGGATAGGGTTATGCTCGGAATTTGTCTGCGTGATAATCTTCGTATGAAGACATCGGCAGTAGAACCAGAGTAACTAATATAGCCCAACAGTGCCGAAATGGTAATGCGATGGCCATATAGCTTGAAGAACTGAACACCGATGGGAAATAAAGGTTCTCAAGCGGCAGCCTCGTAATGGAGTAACAACCTGTTAAGAGATGCAGGAAGTCGATGGTCAATGGATAAGGGCTGTGCCAAGTGGCATCCCTTAAGGGAGCAGTAGTCTTGTGATGAGGTGTAATGATGATGATGATGGTGATAATAAAAGATTAGCAATAATTGTAGAAGGGACGTACAGTCGGCCGAATCATTACTTAAACAAAATGTAAATGCGTGTACAAAGAGTTTTACATTTCATAAAGTGTCATCAAAAGACATTCTAAAATATTTTAAGACTATTGATATTAAGAAAACCGCCGATCTGTAGGGGATTTCCGTTAAAGTTATTGCGTCTATAATAGATGCAATCGCACCTCAACTATCTATTATTTTTAGTACTAGTATCAAATCTGGTGTGTTTCCTGATTTAATGAAGCATAGTAAAGTTAATACCTTTATTTAAATCTGGCAGTACATTGGACCCCGCTAATTTTAGACCTATTTCTGTACTGCCAACACTTAGTAAAATTTTTGAAAAAATTATTCTTGATCAAATGTTAATTTTTTAATATAAATAATTTACTACATAAAAATCAATTTGGTTTCACAAGGGGTCGCTCGACAACTGATGCTGGTGTTGAGCTTATTAAATATATCTTTAATCATGGGAGAATTCACAGGATGCTTTGGGTATATTCTGTGACCTATCCAAGGCCTATGATTGTGTTCACCATGAAACATTAATCAGGAAACTTCAACACTAAGGTGAAAGAAGTGATGCTCTTAAATTAATTATTTCATATTTAAGTGACAGAACGCAAAAAGTTGTCATTAATAGTATGAGTTCTTCAGGGTCGACTGAACAAATGGCCGTGCCTCAGGGCACTATTCTCGGCCCCTTTCTGTTTCTGGTATATATTAAATACTTACCTAACATAATAGGGGATAACCATGATATAGTATTATTTGCTGATGATACTTCATTAATTTTCAAATTAAAACGACAGTTATTAAATTACGACGAAGTAAATAATGCTATAGCTAAGTTAGTCAATTGGTTTAATGTTAATAATTTGCATTTAAATGGTACTAAAACTATATGTATGAAATTCGTAACTCCTAATGTCAAACATGTTAATACGAACGTAATTTTAAATGGGGAAGAACTGAGTCTTGTTGATACCACCATTTTACTTGGAATCACACTAGACGCAAAGCTTCAATTGCTCCCCCATATATCAAAACTAGCTAGCAGACTTAGTTCTGCAGCATATGCTGTAAAAAAGATTAAAACTCTTACCAGTGTGGAAACAGATAGAATAGTTTACTTTAGTTATTTCCATAGCATCATGTCGTATGGTATTTTGCTATAGGGACACGCGACTGACACTGAAATTATATTTATTTTACAGAAGAGGGCCCTTAGACCAATATATAATTTAAAACCAAAAGAGTCACTGAGACAAAAATTTAATGAAATTAATATATTAACTCTGGGTTCTCAATAAATTTATTAAAATGTAATGTACGTACACAAAAAATTTTGCAAAAATAAGTGATATTCATTCTGTAAATACTAGGAACAGACACAAGCTAGTAGTACCAGTTACTCGACTCCACCTAGTCAGTAATTCATTCATGGGGCGATGTATACGCTTTTACAACTAAATCCCAGAAGATATACAAAATTTAGTTCAAAAATTTTATTAAACTAAGTTTGTATAAAAATGTTTATTATAATATTAAGGAATTTATGGATGATAATAACCCCTGGGAAGGGTGATCGCTACCAAGCTATTTTTAATTTGTCTTGTGTTGTTAATTGTAAACATGATTGTAAGCTATTATTAGAAAAAAAATAGTCCCGCTGGTTTTCTTGTTGGTTCTTCCCAGGACAGTTTTTTCCTAACCAAAAAGTGAGACGTAAATGACTTTCAATAAGTATTCTGGTTTTTATATGATATATATAATGTAAATGTTTTCATACATTTAAGTATGAAAACATTTAGAAACAGCATTTAAGCAATTTATATATATAATTCCTCATTCACAGGGGTTGTTATGCATCACAATATTACAATGACCCTTATGTGTTATTTGCTTAATAAATATTTTATTGTAAAAGCGTCTATATTGCCCCATAAAGGATTTACTGACTCCAGTCGAAGTCATAAAAAAACATACTCAAACATTTTTCTTAATAAAAATATGAAATCAAACATGTCATTCTTCAGGATTCGAGTCTAGAACTGGACGTGCCAGTCCCGAGCGCCGAAAGCTTGCAAGCGATCGCACAGGTCATGGGTGCCGCTGGGTTTGAAACCTACACTGAAGGCAAGACTCTCGTGAAGCGGCTAATACCGGATAACAGTCAACCAGATTTGGACGTCGTCGAACATCAAGGTAAGAAAATTTCCAAGACAAACTTTTTTATATAAAATAAGGGTGACAAGCAAGCACACAGTCCACATGATGGTAAGGGGATTCTGTGGCCCATATACATCTGCATTTATCCTCTATTAAGAATGAAAATGCGGATGCGTTGTCACCCTGCTACTTTACGCTGGTATTTTGTGAGAGCGCCCCCAGTTCGAGCCGACTCATTCGTGCTACAACCACCAAAGAAACAACCAAAATAATATAACAGCAGCGTGCTTCTATTACGTGACTATATTGCTACCTATCGTTATGTTTATTAATAAAAAAATTGTATATGTATTATATTGTATGCATATGTGTCTTATACCTCTATCTTAAGTGTATATGTATATATTTACGAATATAACGTGAATAGAACCAGGGGTTACCTTGCGTAAATAAGTTACATTAATGATGTTCTTAGCGGTCAGCCACCGCAGAGCCTAGTTCACTTGGGGATGCCTCGTTTTGAGGCGAAACATGTGTCATATTATCGACATTGGTATGTCTTTCCTCGTGTAATGGTGCTGGGATTAGTGGTGACAGTGATCGTGCACGTAATTGAAGGAGTGCGGGAGGTGAAGAAGACACGAATATACTGCAATCGATATAACACTATTTGTCACCCACACATACACATTACACGCACTCTGGAGTATTTTGATTTAGGTCTCGCCCTAATCACTCAATCCTCAATCTATATATACTATATTTATGGCTGGAAAAATCATTTATCTCTTCCGTTTTATAAAAAAAACCTACATAAAAAGTATCGAAATTTAATCCGTTAATAATAATAATAACGGCTAAATACATTGTTATTTAGTATACATAATTTAATAGACTAAAATTAAATATAAATTATTTGTAATGCGACGAAAGACTCACAGAAATAATGTATATTTAAAGGTATCATCGGCAAGGCAGGAGTGGACTTTCCAGCGTTCCCAAGCATCCCTAAAACGGGATTCAACTGCAAGAATGTGCCTACTGGATACTACGCTGATCTGGAAACCGATTGTCAGGTATATTTTTTACATTCCTTTACGTGACCTACTAAATAAATTACCATTAAACACATTTAAACATTTATTTAAAAGTGGGAGCATTTTTAATAGAAAAAAATTATAGCATTTGAAAATACTTTGTAATTTTTTTTCTCTTTTTATCCAACTATTAAAAGTCTACTGTCGGTCATAGACCTCAACCGTGTCGGGGAAGACAACTCATAATTCGCATACTAGACGTTTTCATATTCATTTACGCTATCTTAAATTGATAAAATAAATATTCATTTACAGGTTTTCCACATCTGCGACACATCTCGCAAGATTTCGTTCCTGTGTCCAAATGGTACCATCTTCAGCCAGTCGCATTTAATTTGTGATTGGTGGTTCAAGGTGGATTGCGCATCCGCTCCAGCCCTATACGAGTCCAGTGCCGAATATTACTCCAACGAGCAGAAAAAGACTCAAAGAACAACCCAAAGTCCAACAAAAATCCCCGACCTCCAGCAGATCAGCGAAAACAACATCAGAACTGCACCTCGACGAGCAGCCTTTAATATTCCCAGTACCACTGAAAGATTGTTAAGATATCATCAAAGGCAAAGTGAAGTCCCTGCTAACATTGCAAAATCAACATCGGAAAGTTTTCAAGCCCTTTTTCCAGAGGTAAACACAAATCCTACGCAGAAAACCCAAGCAACGACAGCGTTCGAAAAGAGAAGAAAAAATTTAGTTCAGTTAATAGCAAACAACTTAGCTAATCTTCCAAAAAGAACCACTCTGCCAGAATTTGAGTTTTCCACGCGACGATCTACGACTGCAGGAGATTACATCGGTTTTAGAGAAATGCAAATAGCTGCAGAGACCGCATCATTCGCTCAAAATCAAAACAGACAGTTATTACAAGAATACAATAAATCATATCGCCCTTACCCAGTTTATACACCAAACCTTACAGCTGGTAACGATAAAAGCAAAACTAACCCAACATTAACTACATTGTATGACTTTAGAGACAAGATATTGCCACAATTTTCTGAGGAAACCACAACTAAAAGGGCAACTTTGTTGCCATACGACATGGGATTTACAAAGGTAAATAATAAACAAGAACCGTACACCAGGCCTGGTGTGTCTACTTTAAAGGATTTCCTTGAGAAAGAAAGAAATAAAACGTTTTCAACAACTGAAACAAGTACAAAAACTAGCAAACGAGATAGTAGTAATGAAGATAAAAAGCTTACAATTGAGAGTAAAAGCAGTTTTGTGACCATGATACCAGATGTAGCCCATGAAGAGAATGATTACATTGAAACATTATCATCAGATAAAACAGACACATATACAACAAACCATGTCCTAGAAACAACAGAACCAACATTTACTCCAACCGAAAAATACTACGGTAATTTACCAAATAGACCTGGTCTTATAGTTCCACCATCTTTAACACCAAAAACTCTTCACTCCCTTGCTATTTACTATGCTACAGGATTGGATAATTTTGCAACATCAGCACCATCAGAAGAGGTGGAAAGTACTACTGCGACAATTGATGAATATGAAGCCGTGCAAGACGGATTACCAGCACTATTCAGTCGACAAACTATTAATAAATATAGCAACCTATTTGGACAAGGTAACAATAATGATGAGTTGCTAGAAGAACTAAAACTTGATCCCAATGGTACTTATAACGAATTGGCTAGGGATTTATCAACGCAAATGAGTCAGTATCCGCTAGTCACATCTCCACAAATTAGAGAATTAGCTCAAGTATTCACGCATGCCCTTTCCGCATATCTTCAAGACCCAGTTCAATTTAGAAAAGTTCTTTCGGATATCAGACCTACACCTCCAAATTTCGGTGAAATGTTGACTACAGATGAATTATTATACAACACAGCGCCCACAACTACCGTCAATGAAGACGATCAAGAAATACTTGGATTCTCTGATGACCATAAAGCGAGAGCACCATTAACTTCATTGAGGGAAGGAAAGTCAGTAAAAATTAATTCAGAATACAATTCAATAAGTGATACGACTACAACTACAACTCCAGTTTCAAGTACCACAGATATCATTACGACATCATCAACGACAACCACAGCTAGAACACCTTTCAGGTGCTGTGGTAGAATATCAGCGTCATACACTTCTGCTGCTCCACCCAAGGAACCTCCTACTTCATCAGTTTCATTCACAAATAATGAAGCAGCTCAAGTAAACTTACCAAAGAAAATAAGTGATAATGCTATTTCTACCACTGAAAACAGTTATGCTGCTCAAAAATACGGTGGATTCCAAAATAACGTACATTCGTTAAGCAATTCACAATACCGTGAAGATTCAGAAACCTTTAAACCACTGAATGATTATACAGAAATAACAAACCTACCTTCCGCTTGGGGAGTTGATGCTACTTTAACCCCCGTCACAAACGGTAATATTTTCGAAAGCAAACGAATCAAATTTTCTACTTACACACCTGAAACCACACCGACATACTTCACAAAAACCGAAAGTATTGAATTAGAAAATGAAGAGGAACTTCAAAGAGCCCACAGCCAATCATTCGTTTCACCACAAGGTAATAGTGTAAGACAAGGGAAACAACTTAATGTAGACGGCTCAAAAGGCAACACTAAGACACCTTCAGAAAATTTGGAAGCACCTACGCCGACGAATATAGACACAACTACAACATCGACTACCACTATCCAACCAACAACAACTGTAAAAGATAACACAGAATCTCAAACCACATCATCCCCTCCATTCGATGATACATTTACATCTCCTGACAGCGACAAGGCAACATACCAACTACCTACTACCTTTGAGAATTGGAAAAGCACCATGGTAGTAGATCCGATCACTTTGAATGACGGATTAAGTTCAACGGATTCTGACCAAAATGAATCAGATTCACTACAACAGACTAACCCTCGGACAACAACTACTACACCGTCTCCTGAATATACAGAAGCAAGTTACCAAACCAGTTCATCTACAATATCTGTCGAATTACCAACACTTAGTGAAAAAACTCAAGAAAGATATGGAAAGCTATTAAAGGACTCACCTACCGAAACTCCACAAGAATTAACCACAATTGCAGATACAGTTGTAGAAAAAGCGAAAGAAATAATGGGCGGTATGAATACTACGACAGCAGAAAAACTTATGAACGTAATGATGAAGACAAAATCGAAAACTGTTAGAAGACTAATTTTGTTGCTTATTCAAACGTGTGATGATGATCATAATTCAACTGCTGAGGCATCTAAGAGAGCTTTACTTGAAGCTTTAATGGCTGTTTCCCAAAAAGATATGGAGAACGTTGCTAAAGAGCAAGCAGCAACTGAATTCCCTAATACAACTCCAGATTACGAATACATCAAGACAACAGTTTATAGCGGAAGTATGCACCTACAACCTCAAAGATTGAAAAGCAATAGACAGGGAAAAAGTTTAAATTTTGACGCAAGCGCAATTAACTCATTATCACAACCAACTACCACAGAAGGTGTTAAAACAGAAGAAACTGAAGTTCCAACTACATTAAATCCACCAACTACCGTCAACACTCGCAAGAGTTTGAAAGAAGTTGAGATTCAATCATCAATTTCCGATGAAAATTCTAAATTACCCGTTAACAACTGGCCGGTGGCACAGGCTAGAGTAGATTCACAAGCCACAAACCTAAAAGCATCATCAGACACGCGAGCTTTGGAACTGTTAAGATCGCTCTATACAATTGCCGCAAGATGGGGTTGATAATTTAACCAAATAGAAGCTTGGATTATTTTTATATTTAGGATTTTTACATATTTCTTGCCTACGGCTCGCGTCAATACAATACTGTACACGCCTTTATTCTACATTGTAGTGTTGTGACTGAGCCCATCTTTGCTCATTTATAGTATACATAGCATTTCAATATTCTACATTGTATATGAATAAATATTTATGACATTTTAAGTTAAATAAATCTAGACCATAAATTAATTGATAAGTAAATGTGATTTTGTTTAGATAAACAGTATTCAAAGCTAAACGAAAAATTAGGTTTAATCAACAAGAAATTGTTTAGGTTAAGTTGTTACCTACCTTGAATGATAAGAATATTAGCTATGTAGATATGTTAATATAAAATTATTTCCATGTTACATTTATTTCCATCATGTGTTTGGAATTAATTATCTATGTAAGTATACTAAAGTTAATTTATTATAACTTGTTACTATTGCGTAATTTTATAGGATTTCTGAAAATAAATTCTCTTAAAAGATCTGAGTTACCTATTGTAGTCTCAAATGCTTTTGTAGTATTAATTTACACTGCCAATTATTCTGTATTGTAATATATCTTTAAGACTATTTAGACGTAACTTATACTTAGGTTATTTTTTACAATAAATTTTTTTATAAAATTTATCGTTTTTTACCGAAACCACTTTCCTCAACATCGTTTGCGATAAGTATATATAACAGTGGACATAATAAAGTGAAAATAATTGACTTTTCATTGTACTTATGTACCTAACTAACAGGTCGGGGAAAAAGTATCTTCGTATTTCATGTACAAATTCAAGACATTTTTACGAAGCTTAATGACATTTAATTATAATATTACGTGCCATTTTATTTTATAACTTGTTGCCATTTTAAATCATCCCGTTATATTTTGAAAAGTTATATTAATAAATAATCCCGTTGCTGTTTTACAGCATTTTTTCTTGGGATTTTTGATGAAAATAATGCAAAAAGTAGTTTTGACAATCCTCTCTTGATGTTAACCTAACACTTCCCAAAAAATTCTGAAGAGACCGAACCAGGTGAAAATCTGAGGATGCAAGGTCAGGACTATATGGTGGATTCATTAACACTTCCCAACCAAGCTATCTTAATTTTTGCTGAGTTGCCAAATATGTGTGGCCATTTTTTCTCATATTCTTGCTTTAGTCTTATTAGTTGTTGACTGTAGAGGTCCGAATCGATCGTTTTGCTCGGCAGTAAAAGCTCATAATAAACGATGCCCTTCTAATCTCACAATACACATAGCATCATCATAATGCGTTTGAATCCGGGTTTCGCTACAGTCTGTGGTGCTTAACTACTTTTTGAGCATGATCCTTTTTTGCACGTTCTTATCAATGGTGATCCACCTTTCATCACCAGTGATCAATCTTTTCAAAAATGGTTCGGTTTCATTACTTTTTAATAAAAAATCGTAAATGAGTACACGATTCATTAAGTTTATTTCAGTGAGCTTGTGTGGTATCCAAATATCGAAAATTTTTGTGTAGCCAGACTGTTTCATATATAAACAATCACGCATGTCACCCAGAGGGGTAGACAGAGACTACAGACTTCCATTAAGCACGATCCTAACATACCTCTCACGCTTCCTCCACATCCATATGCCTACACATACATGCTCGTCGGTTAAGGGTACTCTAAATTTAGCCCATTTTTAATATATCGCCAATTTGGTCGACAAACTTTCGCTTTCGACGTCCCTTTCCGACTCTTCCATTCACTTCTGCAACATATATTTTCTTTGTCAGCCTTTTCTCATTCATTCTTTCTACATGACCAAACCACCGAAGCATTCCTTTTTTAATCCTGGTTATAGCATCATCTTGCAAGCCACACTCTTCTTTTATCACACAGTTTCTCACCTGTCACTCAGATTCAGCCCTAACGTACTCCTTTGCGACCGCTTTTCTACTGCATTTATTCTACTCTCGTGCTTCTTCTTCAGACTGTTTCAAATGGGTGAAAACTGTTTTGTGGTTAATCCTCGATTCTCGGCGATATCGTAACTACTTATAAGCCGAACTTACCTATTCAGCTTTTTCAAAAATGTCTTAATGTCAATACTGACTTTATCCGTACCTATGAGGGCGACTAGAGCGAGCAGCATGTTAAACATTAAAATTACCGGATTGAAAACGCTTGAACCAACTTTGTGCTAAAACCAGCTAGGTACAGTACAACCAAAGAGATTTTTATTCAATTTTATACAAACAAAATACGAAGAAACTTTTTCCCCGACTTATTACATATATACATACTCTAAAAATAATATTATATCCACGGTAGCGTATTTTCTAATTGCATTACGTACTCATGTGGACGTGTATTAGGAAAACAAGCGGGTGCATATTTAGTTGTTTTTTTTTTTAAGAAAAAGTGTAACAAAAGAAGATACAGTCCACCTGATGTTAAGTGGATGCTATGGTCCATAAACATCTAAATCTATCGTAAATCAAGAATTAAAATGCGAATGCGTTGTCATCCCTGAGGACTAAAGATGAAATGTCCCGTTTTCAATAAAAAAAAAGTCTTTACACTATTTTGTAGTTTATTTACATCTACTTTACAGGTAATGCAGCCTAATGTCAATTGCTGGACGTGGCCTACCTCTTAGATTGCCTCATATGAGGAGTTTTTAATAGTTGCCAAGCTTGGTAGGTAATCCACTTGCAACCTCAGTTTTTATAAAGATCAGGGAAAGAACTCATTATCACAGAACACCAGCGTGAAATAACAGCTTCATGCTGCTGTTTCGTATGGTGAACGTAGAGAACCAGAGACCCTTTTTACTGGAAACGAGGCACATCTTTCATCAGACTGAGACAGTCTCCCGCGTACCCATGGGTGATGTAAAGTGCTCGAAAAGTCGAGTATTTAAAAAGTTAAATATAAGCGATAAAATCCGTAAAAACTAGTATTATTTAAATGTGTAGTGTTCGCGTAAATATAAGGGGCATATCTTATGCCGGCTGTACACGCTCGTCGAGACACCACGAGACAGGCCTAGAGGCGAGCGTTATATAACATTGTTCTTAAAAGCTTTGCGTTTTTATTTATAAATATTATAACATGTATAGTTTTCTTTGTGAATAAACATTTAAAGTGTATATAAATATTTAGTGTACATAAACAGACATATAATTGGTGTAAATAAATAATAAACATTTTTTGTATTAAGTTAATTTTTGTGTATTATGTGGATCATAAAAATTATGTGATGTGATGGACAATAATACTTAAATACTTACATATTTTGTGACTGTATAAAATTGTACAAAGGTACTAATATTGATAATGTCGCGCACGTGTTATAATACCTATAATATGTTAATATTTTCGTAATTATAACATAACACAAACGCAAAACTAACCTACGCTATACTGTATACATATGTAACTAATTACAAAAATAAGCAGTTTTGAAACTAGTTACTCATATCCACGAAACTACGTACAACCGATTACGTCCAAAAGACGTTACGACCCATCTCTAGACAGGGCGAGTACGAGTGTACTACAGGCTGCTCTCGTCGCGTCGCGTCGCGTCTCGTGGCCCTCGTGCGCTCTCGGAAGCGTGTCGGTTTTTTGCGCTCGAGTCAAAGGATCTCGTAGGTATTGCGATGAAAACCGAGAGCGAATGATGATATTACTTAACGTGTATAACATGTATAATCAAGCAGAAAAATACAAACTATATTATGACATTTTAATATGTAAAAAGTCAAAGGTCGACATTATAACTACACATCAAAGTCTCTACGAAAACGTACTTATATATAATCGTTAGGTTTTAATTGCTGCTAAATAATATTCTGTATTTTGTGTACACTTAGTTAAAGAGGTAAAATATTTTGTATTTGTAATTTCTGTTTTGTCTCAAGACGACATACGTGATTTTATTGTTAATAACTTTTTTTGATTATAAAGAAGTGTAATACACTGTTAGAAAGTTTATTAAATACAGTGTTTAATGATATTATTGATTTTTTTTTCATTTAAAATATATATGTACTTAAATTTATGAAGAAACATGTGTTTTTTCCGGGACTAGTTGAACCTCTCTTTTTCTTTACATAATTAGAGTCATCTTTCAATAGATCCTGCTAAGTTTTACAAATCTCATATAATATTTCATACTCTTAATACCGATATCAATATTTAAGTTTTAAGTGCCAGGTTTATTGAATAATTATTTACTTTATTTATATATATTTTTTTTAAATATTGTATAACAGGTAGTCGCTAACACTTTCGATATCGATAGTACGCAAGACGAATGTGCGCGGGTGACTGGACGCAAGGAGACAGTACTTGGGGCTAGCGCGTCGCTCGTTGCTATGGTTTCGCTTCCCCGTATGTCATACCGCACCGCACTGTTCATCTTTCGTGGCGCAAGCCGTAAGCTATTCACTATTCTATTCACCGTACATGGTACTGTTACGGTAAATTAATAGAAATTATCCACCATCTCCTTCTTAGCAATGGGTTATTAATTTTATTTTTAGTAAATGTGTAAAAAATATAATAGCTCAAAGGCAAAACGCAGCATCAGTTTTATCTAGGGGGCATATGGAGTTCAAACTTCAAATGATACAACGAGTGTGTACATGGTGTGTTCTCGTGTCGAGCCTTTACGTGATGAGAGGCACACGAGGTGACGAGACGAGCGTGTACAGCCGCCATGAGCTACATACATCTAGGGTTGCCAGGTCTTTAAACCGAACAGACCATCCAGCTTAACCGGACATTGTGGTAAAAAGGCCGGACAGCCTTAATTATTCAGTCTTAGTATAACACGATAATATATTTTTTAAAGTAAAACAATGCTAACCTTATATCATTTACCATAAAATCTTAAATTAAAAGAATCAGTGTTCTTTATTATTAATCATTCAATATTCATTACAATATTAGTTTCAATAATTGCAATAGTATGTATTTAAGTACATGGAAAAT